AGCAAGCGCAAGGGTCCAGCGCCGTCTTTATCGGCAGCTGCGAGGTCAATGTGCCGTCTGCTACGGAGTCGCCGCATGAGAAAGTGGTGCCCATAACTCTTGGCGGTGTCAAGAGCGGCGAACTTCTCGTCTACGTCGGCCACAACAATGCACTGGAGCGCATGCGTTCGCTGTCGGTGACGCCGCCACCTGCCCAGACGCAACCGCCCATCGCAGAGCCGAGCCCGACATCGACGTCGGAGCTTGTTTCTGGGACGAACGTGATGCCAATGTCTCCAAAACGCACGCCAGAGCCACCTCAACCAGCGCCGACGCCAACGACTTCATTGGATCTCGAGCCATTTCAGGACCTCCCAATGTCCATTCGTCGAATCAACCTGCGAGATTTGGATCTGGGAGCGCAGCCGAACAACTCGGGTTCTTACGGCAGCGTCCGCATCTCTACCCTCGACAACATGCGCGTTGCAGTCAAGTCGCTCTACAAGAAGGGTAACTACATGGATACGTTCAAGAAGGAAGTCGAGCTCATGCACCGCCTCGAGTCGCCACATACACCCAAGCTCCTTGGCATTTCCAGCGACAAGGATGGGCAGCCGTGCATCGTCATGGAGCTCCTGCCCGGCGGTGACTTGAAAGAACATCTCGAGCGATTGCGTCAACAGCTCTCAGCGACTCACACCGTCGAAAGTATGCTCCCGTTCGCTCTTCAGATCGCCAAGGGTCTCGCCTACCTCCACGGACACAAGATCATCCACCGCGATCTCAAGCCAAACAACATCCTCCTCAGCAACGATAAGACAACTGTCAAGATCGGCGACTTTGGCGTTTCGCGCCAAGCGAGCATCGAAGCCATGACCAATAACGTTGGCACCGCGCTGTGGATGGCCCCCGAGGTCGTGCTCACCCGCAAATACTCGATTGCAGCAGATGTTTTTGCGCTTGGGGTCATCTTGACACAGCTCAATACGCTGCAGACGGACCCCTACGCTGATCGCAAACTCAAAGGGATGGCGCTCGTCTTCAACATCGCTAAAGAAGGTCTGCGCCCTTCGATGCCGTCGACGTGTCCCGTCTGGTACCGAGACCTCGCGACGGCTTGCATGAGCGCCAAACCGAGCCAGCGTCCTACTGCTGCTGAGGTCGTGCAACAACTCGAGGCGCACTTGGCTCTGCCACAGCTTCCCGACCCGGGCCTTCTCGATCGTGAACTTGTCGCGTCGAGCCAGACCAGCCGCGTCTACCGGTCGTCGTACAATGGCACCTCCGTCATCGTCAAAGCGTTCACATCACTCTCGCAGGGTCAATTCAAAGGCGCTGTCCAGCGCATGGCAAAGCTGCAGTCGGCACACACGGT